GTGATCATGGCCATGGTCATGGTAGTAGTGATGGTGGTGGTGATACAGATGATTAAGATGCTGATTCTGAGGAGGGTGGCAAACGTGATGATGGTAATGATGCTGATGCTAATTCTGATGATGTTGATGATGCTGATGATGACGCGTACTATCATGCTAATGTTGTTGACGATGATGATGGCGATGACGATCACGATGAAGATGATGAGGATGCTGCTGATGATGATGGTGTTGATGGTGGTGGTGATGATTATGACGAACAGATGTTGTTGATGGTGATGATGATTATGATGATGCTGCTGCTGATGATGATGATGATGATGATGGCGTTGTTGATGATTATGTTGCTGGCGGGGATGATGGTGATGATGGTGATGATGCTGCTGATTATGATGCTGGTGATGATGCTGCTGCTGCTGCTGATGATTCTGATTATGATGCTGATGATGATCAGTACTGATTATGCTGATGATGTTGATGAGGCCTCTTATGATGACGGTGACGCTGATGTTCATGATGATGAATATGAGTGGGGATGAGGAGGATGTTGCTGATGCTGGTGATGGTCCTGGTGGTAATGATGCCAAGACCAGCGCACAAGATATTGACGATGTCGATGACGATGCCGAAGGCTATGGCGTTGACGATGAAACCGGTGGTGGTTATGATGATGCAAGATGCAGGCGCCATCTTGCCGTCCCCCAGAAAAGGCGTGGAGTCCATGGTTGAGGCGTCGTGGGTCTCTTGGGCACTATGTGGGGGTTCTTGTGGGCGTCTTGAGAGCCTTTTGAGAACCTGGCGGAGCCTCTTGAAGTCGTTGAGTGTTGGCGGCCGCCTTGGGGCCTGTCTTGGGCCTTCTGGAAGTTATTGGGTGCCTCTTTTCGTTATCCCTCTTCGCCTCTCTTGGGGCCCTCTTGGGGCAATATTTGGCCGCCTTTTGCCCCTTTGTGGGCACCCTCTTGGGCCGCCTTGAGGCCCTCGTAGGGGCCTCTTGGGCAGTTTTGGGGCGGTCTACGGGGCATCTCGGACTGTCTTGCAGCGTCGGAAGCTCGAGAAGACGACATTTCTAGAACCAATTGCTCGACGCGGAGAGTGCATTTCATGTCTCTGGCGCCTCTTTCTGTTGGTACGTTTCAGTCAGCGTCTGTGTGAGAGCGAATCGCTCGCTCGCGACATCCCCACACTCTGAGTCGCAAGTTTGAGTTCGAGCGAGTCCGATTGAGATTGGATCTAAGTGCGAATGAGCCTGATTTTGAGTGGGTATGGGTCTGGGTGCGCCTGAGTGTGAGTACGTTTGAGTGTGGGTGCGTCTGAGTGTGATTAGGTCTCAATGCGGCAGTTCAGGCAACATCACATGGCGCGAAAAGGGGGAAACACAAGTGTTCGTCTCTCACCAGCTGCCGAAGCAAATCATGCTCGCCTCTCAAGAACAACCCAGTCGGGACTTGCCGTTGGGCAAGGCCGCCCGCACTTGGCATCGGGCCGAAACATCATGCGATTGTCTGCTGGGCGCAGCTAGGTGCGAGGGGAATATCACTCTCTCTCTCTCTCTCTCTCTCTGTATATATATATATATATAGATGCACGTGTGTGTATATATGTATATATCTATATATATATATATATATATATATATCGACACATGGGTAGGGGGTCCCGGGGCCCCCAAAGTGCACTGATTTGTCTTCAGGCCGTTTCGGGCCCGGCGGGGGGCGCCAAAAAATGTCAAAGGGGGCCGAGAGACGTCCAAGAGGGCGCCAAGATGGCCCAATAGCGCTCCAAGAGAGCCCTAGACCGGACAAGAGCGTTTCAAAATTGGTCTAACATGGCTTGAAGACAGCCCAAGAGGGCTTCAAGACCGCCAAGATGCCCTCGAAAGGACTCCCACGAGGCACTCAGGAGGCGAAAAAGTAGGTTTTTTTTCAATTGTTTTTGAAGGCTTTTCGTGATTTCGCTGTTTCGTGCTTCCGACGGTTCAAGCCAGCCCACGAGGCCCCAGAAATCAGCTCACGGCCCAACAGGGATCCAAAAAGGGCGCCACGACGGCGCAAGATAATCCCAAGACGGCCCACGAGTGCTCCGGAGAGGCCCTGAACCGTATTTGAGAAGAAGCGATACACAGGACCCTTGCGGACAAGTTGTTCAGGGAACCATGCAAGAGATGGAGCATTGCCCCACCTTTTTCCGAAGATTGGCGCTAGGATGTGCGCTGGTTTTCCACCTCTTTCCGAGAGCAAGCAGTGCCTGCTGGGCATGCAAGCAGGCAGCCCGCTTGATGCATCCCCACAATCTGAGCGCGACTGCTGGAATGTCCTGACCCCTGGAGTCCCCTCCTTGGAGTGCCCAAATGTTGCGCCTGCTTAATCGCGGCGGGTATTTGACCACCAATGCATGAGTGAATCCGAGTATGAGTATGAGAGAAGTATGGGTGTGAGTTAGTCTGAGTGTGAGCGACGGCGAGTGACAAGCTGTTTAGTATCCGAGCCTAAACAGGGCGAGAACGGGCAGGTGAGCTACCCCCATCGCGCCACCCCCTCCCTTGGGGGTGCGACAACCAGCGCCTCGCCCGCGACATCCTCAAACGCTTCCCCGAAAGCAGACGGGGTTGGGGCGGCATCATCATCATCATCATCATCATCATCATCATCATCATCATCATCATCATCATCATCATCATCATCATCATCATCATCATGATAATCATAATCATCGTCGTCGTCGTTAAAGTCATCGTCAACATCATCACCATCAGCAGTATCATCATCGTCATCGTCATTGTGTCATCGCCATCATCAGCATTAACACAATCAACATCGTCATCATCATCAACAACACCGTCAGCATCATCATTATCATCATCACCATCATCATCAGTGTCATCGCCACCAACAGCTCATCGTTAGTGTCATCATCATCCTCGTCATCGGCGCCGAGCGTGTGAGTCAGCAGCACCATCAGCATCATCATCGTCATCGCCATCATCATCAACAGCATGGTCATCGTCGTCATCAGCATCACCATCATCATCAGCATCATCATCATTGTCAGCAGTACCATCTTCATCATCATCATCACCATCATCGTCATCGTCATCGTCAGCATCATCATCATCAGCATCAGCTTTTTCATTATCATCATCATTATCATCATCAACATCATCGTCATCTTCATCGTCAGCGCCGTCATCATCCTCATTATCAGCGCCGATCGTGTGAATCATTATTATCATCATCATCATCATCTTTGCCATCATCATCATTATTATCGTCATCGTCATCATCATCAACATTATCGTCATCGTCATTACCAGCGGCATCGCCGTCACCGTCATCATTAACATTATCGTCATCGCCGTCACCATCATCATCAGCAGTGTTTTCATCATCATCATCATCATCATTATCATAAGCATCATCATGAGCAACAGCAACATCATCATAAGCATCATCATCATCATCATCATCGTCATCCTCATCAAACCTGCATACCATCTTCACCCTCATCATCACTACCATCACCATCATCATCAAAAGCATCATCAGCATCGTCATCATCATCATCATCGCCATCATTGTCCAACGTGTGACTCAATATCTGCATCGTCGACTGTGTGAGTCAATACGATCATCATCATCATCATCATCATCATCATCATCATAATCGTCATCATCATCGTCATCATCATTTCACCATCGTCATCATCATCACTATCATCACGATCATCATCAACAGCATTCGCATCATCCCCGTCATCCTCATCATCCTCATTATCTTCATCAGCATCATCATCGTCATCATCATCCTCGTCATCATCATCAGATTCGTCTCCAGCTCTGTCTCCATCATCAGCATCAGCAGCACCAGCATCAACATCAACATCATCATACCATCAGTATTGTCATCGTCATCGTCATTGTCATTCGGGCGTCCGTGCTTGGCGCGGCTGAAATACATCCTTAAAACCTGCTCTGACCGCAGACGAGTCTGGCCACCAACATGCGCAAACCGCTCAAGACATCCTCGCAATCTAGCCCCCCCTGGGGTGCGAACGACAGCGCCTCGCTGGAGACATGATGAGGATGGTGGTGGGTATAATGATGATGCCGTGGAGGATGAGGATGAGGATGAGGACGATGATGATGATGATGATGATGATGATGATGATGATGATGATGATGATGATGATGATGTTGATGATGATGATGATGATGTTGATGATGACGACGATGATGATGATGTTGATGACGATGTTGCTGATGATTATGATGCTGATGCGGGTGATGATGATGAGGATGAGGAGGAGGTTGATGAGGATACGAATGAGGATGAGGATGTTGATTGTGGTGATAACGATGCCGATGATGCTGATGAGGATGATGATGCTGATGATGCTGCTTATGATGATGACAATGTTGATACTGTTGGTTTTATTGGTGCCGTTGCTGTTGCTGTTGCTGTTGCTGTTGTTGAGGTGATGGTGATGATGCTGCTGATGATGATGATGATACTAATCATGCTGATGATGATAAGGATGATGATGACGATGAAGGTGCACATGCGGATGGAGATGGGGATGAGGATGATGTTGCTAATGCGGCGGCTGCTGATGACGATGGTGATGCTCGTGATAATAGCGATGACGACAATGATGATGATGTTGACGATCATGTTGATCACGGATCACGGGCGATGAGGAACGATGATGAAGGAACGGGTTATCAAGGGCCAGAAGTGAGGATGAGGAGAGAGGAGGGAAGAACCGTGGCTAGGAGCAGAGAAGGAGAAGCAAGCTAGGTGCGCTCGCACCACATTTGGCACCATACGTCTTCCACTCATCCCTTAGCACTGCGCTGAATTATTGCCTACCCGCCGACTCGGGTGGTGCCCTAAAGGATCTTGATGCCAACATTGACCCCATAGTGTGGTGTGCAAGCAGGAGTGTGGCTGCTTTTTTGTAGGAGGAGGACGAGGAGGAGGAAGAGGAGGAGGTGGCGGACGAACAGGATAACCAGCAGGAATCAGAGGATGACGATGAGCAGGGAGGAGGAGCAGTAGTAGGAGGACGGGGAGAAGGAGGAGGAGGAGGATTGGGCGAGGAGGAGGACCAGTGTAAACCCAAGAGTCGCCAACGATGTTGGAATCCACCCTCCAACGCTCATTCAGGGAGCTGTCTCGTTGGAAGAGAGCCGTTTGAAGACCCTGAAGCATGCCAAACAAGTATTTTTGGGATTTTAACGCCACGGATCAACCTGACTGCTGCGCCTTGGCGATGCAGAATCGTGACAGAAACGCCGTTTTTAGGACTTCAACACCGCCGATCAACATAACTGTTGCACCCGCGTAATCTTGACCCCTTCGAACACACTAATTCTTGTTCGTTGATCATGAGAACCCGTGAAACTCTTCAGACTGTGCAGCGAATGTGCGCGGCGCTCAGGCGAGAGCCAAATTTTGAAAACCACCCGCCCTCAATCCGTGAAGCTCTGGCAACTGTTTCAAACGAATGTGCGCGGCGCTGAGGCGAGAGCCACATTTTGAAAACCACCCACCCTCAATCAGTGAAGCTCTGGCAACTGTTACACACGAATGTGCGCGGCGCTGAGGCGAGATACACACTTTTTTTGACAACCACCCACCCTCAATCAGTGCAGCTCTTGCAAATGTTTTAGAAGAATATGCGCGATGCTGAGGCGAGAGCCACATTTTGAAAACCACCCGCCCTCAATCCGTGAAGCTCTGGCAGCTGTTTTAAACGAATGTGCGCGGCGCTGAGGCGAGAGCCACATTTTGAAAACCACCCGCCCTCAATCCGTGAAGGTCTTTTGCAACTGTTTTACACACGAATGTGCGCGGCGCTAATGTGAGAGCCACATTTTGAAAACCACCCGCGCTCCATCTGTGAAGCCCTTGCACATGTTTACACGAATGTGCGCGGTGCTGAGGTGACCACATGTTGAAAACCACCCGCCCTCAATCCGTGAAGGTCTTGTGCAACTGTTTTGCACACGAATGCGCGCGGCGCTAATGTGAGAGCCACATTTTGAAAACCAAACGCCCTCCATCTGTGAAGCTGTTGCCACGAGCTTCAGAGTTATGACTGGTAATGAAGTCTCAGGCGAAACGCCTGACCCGCCCTAAAAACTGGCCTCGGGGTGCGACAGGGAGAAGTCGTTTATAAGGAAAGGACTGGAGGAGGAAGAGGAGCAGGAGGAAGAGGATGTGGATGATCTGGAGGACCAGGGGGAAGCGAACGAGGAGGAGGAGGAGGAGCGGGATAAACACGAGGACCAGAGGAAGGTGAAGAGGGGGAAGGAGCGGGACGGCAACGACGAGGATGGAATCTGATCACGAATTGTTCACGCTTGTTCGAGGGCGCCTCTCTGGAAGGTGGCATCAACGTGCCGATCTTGAAATGTGACCAGCCCTGCATCAGGACCGCCAATGTTGAGGACAGGGAGCGGCACGACCGACCACCAGCACATTTAAGACCTTTCTGAATCTTGGCGTGCGAAATGAGCAAGACGCGAGACAACCAGACACCCCAGCATTGGACAGCACCAGGGGCGAGAGGAGGGCAGTATTCATACCACGGAATTGCTGGGTAATTGTTGACAGGGAACGCTGTTCTTTACATTTGTACACACTTGTACATCTGTACATATGGACGGGGAGGGAGAGAGAGAGAGAGCGAGAGAGAGAGAGAGAGACAGATAGAGAGAAAGGGGGATAGAGAACGAGCGAGAGAGAGAGAGAGAGAGAGAACATGAGAGAGGGAGAACGAGAGAGAGAGAGAGAGAGAGAGGGAGAACACAGGATGCAGGGATGGGGCGTGGGGGGTGGGGGAGGTGGGGGGAGGGAGGGAGGGAGGGGAGGGATGGAGTAAGGGAACACGAGAGAAAGAGAGAGAGAGAGAGAGAGAGAGAGAAAGAGAGAGAACGAGAGAGAGAGAGGGAGAGAGAGTGAGAAAGAGGGATACACATATATATATATAGAGAGAGAGAGAGAGAGAGAGAGAGAGAGAGAGAGAGAGAGAGAAAGGGAAAGAGAGAGAGAGAGAGAGAGAGAGAGAGAGAGTGAGAGAGAGAGGGAGCGAGAGAGGGGAGAGAGAGGAGAGAGAGTGAGAGAGAGAGAGGGAGGGACATAGAGGAACGACGAGGAATGGAAGAGGAAGAGAAAGAGGAAGAGTCAGGAGCAGACGGGAGGACAGGAGGAGAGGAGGAGAGAGGGAAGAGGTGGATGATGATGAGGACTGATGAGGAGAATGATGAGGATGAGGATGAGGATGAGGAGGAGGTGGAGGAGGATACGGTTGATGACGAGGAGGAGATCACGGCATCTATGCAGGGGGAGGATGTTGTTATTGCTTGCGGTGATGATGCGGATTATGAGGATGCTGTCGCTGATGCTGCTGACGATGCGGATGACAACGACGCTTACGACGGCAATGGCGATGGTACGTACGATGATCGTGGTGCTGGCTGATGAAGATGATGCCATTGACGATACTGATGATTATTATGCCAATGCTGAAGATGATGATGGTGATGGTGATGGCGACTTCGACGATTTATAACGCTGGTTAGGTTGACGCCGACGATGCTGCCGATACTGGAGATTTTCATGTGGGCGATGTCGACGCACACGACGAAGATGTTGCTGCTGATGACGACGACGATGATGATAATGCTGATGCTGACCATTCTGATGCTGTTGAGGATGCTGAGGACGATTATCATGTTGTTGTTGGTGTTGTTGTTGATGCTGCTGATGTTGCTGATGCTGATGATGCTGATGCCGATTCTTACGGTGGTGGTGGTGATGCAGATGAGGAGGAGGAGGAGGAGGACGAGTAGGAGGAGGAGGAGGATGAGGAGGCTGAGGAGGGGAAGGAGGAGGAGGAGGAGGAAGAGGAGGAGGAGGATAGGGGGATACGCCCCAGATACTCTTCCCTGCTGAGGTCGTGAACGGCAGTCCCACTCATATGATGGTGTACGCGCCCGTGTTTCAGTTCCTTCATGGAGGAATGTGGCAACCGAGCAGGAGGAGGATGAGGAGGAGGAATTCGAGGAGGAGCAGCAACACGGCGACGAGAGTGACAAGGAGCAGATGGATGATGATGATGAGGATGACGATGAAGATGAGATTGAGGATGCTGATCAGGATGATGTTGCTGTTGCTGCTGGTGATGGTTTTGACGATGATGATGATCAGGATGATGATTCGGAGTTGGAGACGGTTGTGGATGTGGTGATGGTGGAGATGATGACGATGACGACGACGATGACGATGACGACACCGATGATGACGACGATCGCGATCACGTTGGCGGTAATGCGGACGACGGCGATGACGACGACGATGTTGATAATGATGTGATTATTTTGATAATCCGGAGGATGATGTTGATGCTTCTGCGGATGATGATGATGATGCTGCTGCTGCTGATGATGATGATGATGATGATGATGATGATGGTGATGATGATGATGATGATGATGAAGATTATGATGATGATGATGATGATGATGATGATGATGATGATGATGATGATGATGATGATGATGATGATGGTAAGGAAAATTGCGATGAGGATGCGGATTCGGATTCGGATGCTGATGATTCTGATGATGCTGATGATGGTGATGCTGATGATGATGGTGATGCTGATGCTGGTGCTGCTGCTGATGATGATGCTGTTGATGATGATGTTGCGATGAGGAGGAGGAGGAGGAGGAGGAGGAGGAGGAGGAGGAGGAGGAGTAGGGGGAGGAGGAGGAGGAGGAGGAGGAGGAGGAGGAGGAGGAGGAGGAGGAGGAGGAGGAGGAGCAGGAAGAGGCACGATGAGCGATGAGCGATGAGAAGGGGACGCCGCAAAAGGTGTCAGCTGCAGCAGTGCTCGCAGTACTCGGAGAGCGAGACGCTGGAGGAGATGCTGCAGGATTTCCCGCCCTGTCACGGTCCGCCCCAGCCCCTCATGCGACCTCTCGCTGTAGCCTCTCCCCCCTTCTCCCTCCTCTTCCTCCTTGGTCCATCCTTGTCCTCATCCTCCCTCCTCCACCTGGCTCTCTACCCCCCTGTCCTGCTTCTCCTCCTCATCCTTCCTCCCCCTTCCTTCCTCATTCTTCCTTCTCATCCTTCCTCCTCTCTTCGTCCCCTCCACTCCTCCCCCCCCTCCTCGCTCTTCCCGCGTGTCCCGCGTCCTGGCCGGCCGCTCCTCTACCCGCTGTCGAGGAACACGTGGCGGCGTGCGCGTGCTCTCTCGGAGCTCCGCGCGGGTAGCTCGGATCGGCGCTGGGCCCCCTTGGTGGAGTCGCCGCCCCCGACGCGCTCTCCGCGCGCCGGGGAGGGGCGTCAGCGCCGAGGGGTTCGGAGAAGTTATGTGAAAGCCGTTTCCTGTCCCTCCAGCGTGGCAGCAGAGGGGCCCGGGCGAGTTCGCTCCGAGCTGCGCGCTGTGCGATGGGGTCGGCGGGGCGCGTCCGGGGTGGGTGGGCATCGGGGGGCGGGCCTTCTCACAGGGGGCGGCGAAGAGGGGGGCGATGACCAGGGTGCGTGGGTGTCAGGGCGGGGGCCACGACATCTCCCCAGATTTCATGGCGCTTTTGTTTACTTCATGGCGTCCCTGGCCTCCTCCCCTGGGCCGCGCACGTGCCGCCGGCCATGATTTGCGCCCCCTCCCCTTGGACGCTCTCCTTCGGGCCGCTCCCGAGTCTCGGGAGGTTCAGGAGGCCTCCAGCCTGTCGGGAGCTCTCTAAGCGTGCTCCAAAGCCACAGGGGGTCTCTCGTGGAGGGCTTCCGAGATGCCCCGCCGCATTCTGAGAAGGCCGCCCCCCTCTGCCTTTCCATCTCCAGTCCGGGAAGCCCTCGCGGACCTTTGACAGATGATGCTTATGTCGTTTCTTCTTCTTGTGCTATCCCCATTCCCAGTGGGCCAGGGTTCCTTAACGCCACCAGCGCGCAGTTGGAGATCCATGCCGAGCAACGCCCTGCTTGCATCCAGGGCGCCCTGGGTTTCTTGGGCTTCGATGGTTCTGCGATGGAAAAGGTGGCGCTCCCACACCAAATATCAATGGGCGTCCTGGGGCCTCATGTTTGGGTTTCCCGTGGAAGGTTCCTCGTGGTCGGGCCCCCACTGCACCCCCGTCAAAGTGGGGGCGGGCGCCGCGAGGCCCGACGCACGCATCCATACCCCTCGGGAGGTGGGCCGGACAGTGGTGCCAGGCGTTCCCAATCCTCCTCCTCCTCCTCCTCCTCCTCCTCCTCCTCCTCCTCCTCCTCCGCCTCCGCCTCCGCCTCCTCCTCCTCCTCCTCAACTTTCCACTTCCAGATGGCTTCCCGGGCTCCGCAGTCTTTTCCACGCGAACGCGCAGCCGCTGGCCTCCACGCGCCGTTCCGGGGGCGCGGCGACCACTTGCCAGTGCCCGCCACGCATCGTCCGGAGGGGAACGAAACCTTTCCTCAGGAGCGGAACAGAAACGTGCGCACACGTGAGTGCACGTGGGTTGCGAGAAGGCGAACTCCCCCAGCGTGCGTGACGTGAGGCGGGCCTCGCGAACTGGGGGGTAGGCTCCTGCACGGAGCTCGGCACGCAACGTGCGTCCTCTTTGGGCTCCTGAGTTCCCTAACCCCCTTCCCCCCCTAGTCCCTTTCCCCTTCCCGCCCCTTTTTCTCCCTCCTCTCCTCCGAGCGCGTGGGCGAGCGCAGATGGGAAGGGGTATGACATCGGGGAAGGAGATGGAGGCGGAGGAGGAGGAGGAGGAGGAGGAGGACGTGTAAGAAGGCAGGGGAAGGCAGGAAAAGACGGGAGGAGGCAGTAGCAGGAGAAGGCAGGAGGAGGAGGAGGAGGAGGAGGAGGAGGAGGAGGAGGAGGAGGAGGAGGAGGAGGAGGAGGAGGAGGAGGAGGAGGAGGAGGAGGAGGGGGAGGACGTCCAAAATATACCAACATTTGCTTACGCGATGCTGCAGCTATACCGTCCCATGCCAAGTCACCTCCTCATACGCCCTTGCAAGTTCTCGCTTTCACTGCAAGAAGCGCCTGCCTTGAAATGCCATCACCACTGAGCTTGCCATCATTTCGGTGAAGGGCCCGCTGTGAAAAGGACCTGACCTGCACCTATTCGACGTGTCATCGGGAGAGCGACCCCTTATCGTACAAGTCTACGAGGTGTCAGACGAGACGCATTCTTCGCAACAGGGGCCGCCTCCACGCGTGCAATTGTTGCATGAGGTTCCGCTCGTGGTCAATGACTTCGACGGAGTTTCGACGGAGTTTTGAGCGACAGCTCCACTTACGAAAGGAGCCGCCACGGATCCGTGCAGCCCTGCGTGCGCTGACGTTCAGACTTGAACGGAGTCTCGAGCAGCAGTTGCAGCTTGAAGAAGAGCAGTCCTCCACCCTGCTGATCAAACGTTGCATTACTCAGCGAAGGAGTTATTCTCACCGCCCCCTCGCTGTATTTTCTTCCCCCGCCACCTCCCTTCAGCTGAAAGCTGGCGGGGCCTTCAGCAGAGAGAGGGAGGGAGGGAGGGAGGGAGGGAGGGAGGGAGAGAGAGAGAGAGAGAAAGACACTATCTGCAGCTGCTTGAGTATCAAAGACCTGTCCGCTCGCGCGCGCGGCCTGGCCCCCTGCCGGCCGGCTTGCTAACACAGACACATTCTACTGTTACGCATACCGCTTAACGGACATATAGCCGTTGCTAGATGTGCATCGTCTACGCGCGGCCCAAAATGGACGAACAAGATTGTTTCTGAGCCCCTTGACTGTGTCCGGGGTCTCGATTCACGTTTCTCGCGTCAGTTCAGCATGAATTTCCCATTGTCGGCGGGAGAGTCCAGCGGAAGACGAGTCCGGCCGCCGCGACACGCCTAGAGCGGACGCGGATCTTGTCGGCGGGGACGCAAATTGGTACGGTTCAAGTAACAGGGGCGTGGCGCCCTTACGGAGCGACTCGCGCGGTGAGACACCTGATCCGCGGGCCCCTGCGGTTAAGCACCCGAGGGGAACCTTCAGCGCATCGATGAGGTGTCCGCTCGTGAAACGGCTTGGGACAAACGGCGCCCACGAGGAGACCCATGGGCTCGACCCAGTGGTTTACCTCGGGGGCTGCGCCCCTGGAGCCCCGATTTCCCCGGCCAGCCCGTCGAGTGCGGAGCGTGCTGGGCGACCCGCTGCAGACGCAGCCGGGGCTCCAATTCCCCCCGCGCGCGCCCGTGCCACTAAAAGGGCCCCAGCCGTGGAGAGTTTCCCGACACAGCGATGGCCGGGCAGTCGGGGACAATGCGAGAAGGCGGTTTGCGCGGCATGCTCGGTTAGCTGCTCAATCTGTAACGTGCTCTATCTCTACCCAGACTGCCCACCGCCCCTCGCACATGATTGTTCGGCCTTCCGCAGCCTCGAAGGGGGGCAGGTCGAAGAACATTCGCGAGAGGCGATGGTAGAGGAGCGGATTCGGGAGATGGCTCTGGTGAGATAGCAGATATTGGCGTCGGAGCTGCAGCAGAGGGGAGCATGATCGCATTGAAATGGTCCGCGCTGTTGAGCAGGCGGAGTAAATACAGAGCCTCCTCGCCAGTTGGTCCGCCTGTTGAGCAGACAGAGGACATGAGGAGTACATGCTGAAATGCAGATATCCATCCGCCCTCCATCCGTGAAGCCGCTGCCACATTTTACACGAGAGTTCGCGGCGCTCAGGCGAAAAATCAATTTTGAGAGCGACACGCCTTCCATTCGTGAAAGGGTTGCAAAGTTCAATAGTCAGAATCGTAAGTGGTGAGGAAGTCTCAAGGGTAACGCGTGGCTCGCCCTACCAAGTCTTCTGGTGGTGCGACAGGGAGGAGGTGTCCAGATGGAAAACGGATGGCGGTCTATGAGGAGGGGAAGGGAGGAGGATAAGGAGGAAATGGAGGACGGAGGGAGGAAAGAGGAACTGAGGAGGAGTGGCAGCAACATGTGGAGGAGGACGACGAGTCTCCTGCTCCATCATCTCTGCCAGAGGAGCTCTTCCGGCTTCATGACCTGAATGGCAACGGCGCCCTCGAGGAGGAGGAGCTCGTCCAGCTGAATTCGAAGGCGCTCCAGAGAGAGGGAGGATAAGTAGGAAGAAGAGGAGGAGGAGGAGGACGACGAGGAGGAGGAGGAAAAGGAGGAGGAGGAGGAAGAAAAAACAAACACATCATAATAATAACATGACTAATAATCTTAATCCACATATCATTTACAAGGCTAGTAATAATACTAATAACCATAAGCATAATACTACTACTACTACTAATCATAATCAGAGTCATACTAAGCATATCACTGATAAGAGAAATACGCATACACATAATAATAAACATACTAATCATACGCAGAAGCTAGCAACAAAACGCATACGAATAAGAAGACGAATACAAATAATAATAATACCCATCATACACATAATAACAATACTAACAATAATACTTATACTAAGAAGGAGACGAAGAAACATACTAAGAACACTAAGAACTACTACTTATAATAATATCAATTTTAATAATAATAATACTAATAATAATACTAATAATAATACTAACAATAATAATAATATTACTACTACTAATAATACTAATAATAATAATAGTAATACTAAGAATATTACGAATAAGAATAGCACTTATGACAGTATTATTCATAACAACAAGAGGAGGAGGAGGAGGAGGAGGAGGAGGAGGAGGAGGAGGAGGAGGAGGAGGAGGAGGAGGAGGAGGAGGAGGAGTACGAGGAGCATGATGACGTGGAGGAGAGGACCATCGCATGCTGCGGGGGAAGGCTCAGGTGAGGCCGACCCCACGCTAACCAAAGCCTTGGGTTACACCCGATCTCCCTCTACGCTTCCTGCTCGACCTGCCGTGCAGCTCCGGCATCGGGGATCGGCTGGGAAATTCGGGTCGGTCTTCTCGGAGGCCTGCTGTATCGTCTCCCTCACAGAACTCCGATCGTGCGGGATCGGCCCGACGAGACGACATATTCATTCAAATCCACGTCACCCCGAGCGGGCGTTCCAAAGAAATGCTGCCTGCGCCGACGGCACGGGCCCGGCGAGCCCCACCACAGCCAGTGGCCCATTCGGAGAAGAGGCAGCATGACGGATCAGTCACGTACGTCCACTGATCAGATGGGTAAGATCAGAGATAATGGTGAGAGGTAGCACGCACGGATACATCAGTCGGATAAGAGGTAGCACATACGGACAGTCTAGATGGCAGAGCTAATGATCCGCCTCATGATGTCGCGGCGCTCTGATACACCTCGGCTTCCTGCTGGTCTGAAGTACCCAGACTTGAAGTTCACAGCGAGGCGCGCATTGAGCATGTTAATCTTCGCGATGTATTGGCTGCTGTCGAGGAGGTACTCCAAGTACTTATTCCCCAATCAGTACTTGCACTGAAGGGGTCCTAGCGGGTATCGAAAGATTTGGCGAACATTTCCCGCCGATTTTGGTAACCAGCTGGGTCCCCAGGTTCCCGGTTCCGGGTTCCCGGATTCCTGGTTATTTGTTCCGGGCCGATTTCGGTGGGTTCCGGGTTCCCGGGTTCCCAGTCGATCTTTTTATCGATCTTTCTATCGATCCCACGATTCATTATCGATATCGTGATCGATCTCACTATTCATCTCACTCAATCGATCTCACCATCGATCTCTTCAAACCATCCACTGATTGGTTTCTCTCGGCCCATAACCAATAACCAGGAATCCAGGAACCCGGAACCGGGAACCCGGGAACCCAGCTGGCTACCAAAATCGGCGGGAAGCTTTCGCCAAATCTTTCGATACCCGCAAGGACCCCTTCAGTGCAAGCACTGATTGGAGAATATCGTGCTGGCTTTTGTCATTCACGTTCTGCCAATTTCCGTTGGAGTCCTTGTAGCTCCAGCATGCGACGATGGCTCTGCCTCCTGCCTCCAGCCTCCTCAGCGAAGCCGTTCTGCTTCTCGAAGAGCTTCTTCTCCTCGACGGTATATGTGAGTATCTCCCTTGAAGGGTTACGCGCATGGTGCTACCGTATTTCTCACCGCTCGGCAGCATGTGCGGCGCCTCCTTGGCTTCTCTGGAAGCTTCTCCTCCTGCGCGATGTTGCACGTGGTGGTATCCACGGTGAAGCTGCAGCTCGCGATGTTTGGGGGCACGCACTGCGCCTCCATGCTGGAGTCGTGGTCGCTTCCATCCCCGGGGGTATCCTTGAACTGTTCCTCCTGCAGGGCGTCTTGCGCGAGGAAGCCGCAGCCCTCGGCGAGCCCGCGAAGCGCGCGTGCTCTCGGAGCCGCAGTCGAGCCCGGGCGGGGCACCGCACCTCGGTCGGGCGTTGCCAGAAGTGCCCCTGGCCCAAGGTGCCCCCCGCTTTTCGCTCCCTTTTGGAGCCCCTGGGGCCCTCGGACCCCCGTGAGGGGTGCCCTGGAGGCCGTCTGGGCCACCCCGAGAATCCTGGGGGTACCTTGGGCCAGGGGTACTTTGGCAACATCCGACTCAGCATCGTTTCACCGATGCCCATCCCCAACCCCCATCCCCATCCCCATCCAGACCCCCACCATCTCATCCCCCAGCTGGGGATGTACCCTCCGAAGATCTGACGGAGACTGCCTGTAGATCCCCACCTTGGGGGGGTAAGCCGGCCAGTGGGGCCCAGGCCACGCGAGTGGGGATGGGGATCGGTGAAACGATGCTCATGCACGCCAGCAGTTGGCTCACGGCCAGCGCCTGCACTTGCGCATGCCGGCTGGCCACCTCTTCGCGCCCGAGCCCGATGGGCGGCGCTGCTGGAGGTCTGCCGGGGGGCCGCACGCGGGTGGGCGGCGCACAAGACATCCAGCATACGGAGGCTTTTGGCTAGAGCGGTAGACCGTGGCGAGCGGAAAAGGTGCAGAGCTCGAGCCAGGATGAGTACCGTTCAAGCCAGCGGAGAGCCGACTTGAGCTAGGAGGAGGAGGAGGAGGAGGAGGAGGAGGAGGAGGAGGAGGAGGAGGAGCAGGAATAGGAGGGGATGATGATGATGATGATGATGATGACTCTGAGGATGAAGAGGAGTGTGAGCAGGATGAGCACAATGGTTGTTGCGACAGTACTGTTGTTGTTGTTGTTGTTGTTGTTGTTGTTGGTGTTGTTGTTGTTGTTGTTGAACATTATTTATTCTAAAGAATAATTGTTGTTGGGCCCCCTGGTGCGCGCCCCCCCTGCGCCGCCTAGGCCGCAGCTACATTTTCATCATTTTCGTGAGGAAGCCTCAGAAAAGAGGGTGTGTACAGGATCCGGTTGTTTTGTTGTAATCCGCTTTCCCTTGCAAAAAACAATAGAAAATGACATTTCTTGTTCTAATATAATCAAATTTCAAGAATCCCTTGCAAAAAATAAGGTAAAGTGGACATTCGCGCGCGCAAGACGAAATCCTTCCAAAACCTTAGTGTTCGCAGCGATTTTAACATAAAAACATCAAAAAACCAATGGTTTTTCAACAAAAAATTGTCAAAATCTCATCCCGCGCGCTCTTGCGGATTCGTAGGAAACCCAACACTTTTTAAACATTTCTGTCAAACGGGCTTTTGCGAGCAACTTTTTCGAACTTCTGCGACAACGGTTGCGCACCTGCCAGGGCCATCATCCCTGTCAAATAATACCATGCGGGACACATTCGTTTTTTCTTCGCGCGCGCACGCCGAAATCTCCAAAAACCATTGGGCTTCTTAAGAATTTTAGCACCGCGCATCATAAAATCACACGAATCGCACCGTAGGTCCTCGAAAAACACCTGCACGACTTTTCAAAATTTCTACCCGCGCGCGCTGTCCGAATCCTAAAAAAACCAATGGTTTTCCAACATTTATGTTACATGAGCTCGCGCGAGCTACTTTCGCACGCTCTTGCAACGGGGTTCGCGCGCCTGCCAGGGGCCACAATCCCTTGCGGTTGCGCCATAGGTTGCGCCCTCGGCCGCCGAGAATAAAACCGTGGGGACCATATGCATCATATGCAACAGATGTTCTGTGGAAGGCTTAACAACTTCTGTGGGTTAACAAGGCTTAACAACTTCTGTGGGTGTACGAACGTAGGCTTAACAACTTCTGTGGGTGTGTACTCCACGCCAGTGTAGTAGCCACGGTCGTCCGCAGGCCACGAAGTGAAGTGTCCGAACGTCATAGGGCGGGAAGCTGGGTGTGGGTGGTGGCGAAGAGTCGTGTGGATATTTGGTAGAGCTTGCACTGCCCCCCCACGAAGTGGGGGTATTGGCTGGCGTCGCATGAAAACCCTGGCACTGGTGAGAACACTGAGCGTTCGGGTAAAGTGATTGTTGTTGTTGTTGTTGTTGTTGGTTGTGAGGTGGAGGAGGAGGAGGCAGAGCAGGAGGGTTCAAGGATAACCGGAATCTGCAGATAGCGGGCGGTGCTGGGCTGCAGGCGGCGACGGACATTCTTCGCTCTGAGATTGCTGCTGCTGATGCCGCTCCCTTCCCCAATCGTCGTCCGAATATTCAAGGAGTTTCAATGAAAGCTATTCGAGCCGTTCTGTTTCTTGTTGGTCTTGTTCAACATTTCCGGGCCAGCTTTTGTTTCAAGAGCTTCCAGTACGGTACGCGTGCATACTTACACCTTCGAACCTTCTTCTGCTTAGCTGAGTGGCACTCTCAAACAAGACCCGTGCCTTCACATGAACGACGGAATAGAACGGGGTCCATCGCGCCGACATTCGCACGTAAGCTTCCCGCGTAAGGTCGCGCGTAATCGCCCTCGTTTCCAAGTTAGCGTGCCGCGTTGGCGGCCCGCGTAAACCACCGCGTAAGGTCAATCCGTCGTTCACTTGTCATCACACGTTGCTGCGTCTTGAAATTAGGTCCGTTCTTGACAATTCGCACGACGGCTCGTTATCATTCTGTCGCAGGCTGTCGGCTGTGGACCAGAGTCGAGCTGTTCGCGGATCTCGTTCGACCTTGACGGGTGGGGTGCCACTCTCTCTCGCTCTCTCTTTCTCTCTCTCCCTCTGTCTTCTTCAGCTGAGCGGTTCATCGTTCTGGAAGGGAGGCTATCTTTGACGATGGTTTGGGGATGGTAGAGAAGCGCACGGACGCCAGCTCCGAGAGCTCCTGCCTTGGGAGGCTACCCTTCCCACATCGCCAGTCGCTCCTAGGAGAGACCTTCAGGCCCTAGCCCCCCCCCGATCATCACTCGATCCTCCCTCGATCCCTCGATCCCCGGATCCTTGTTCGCCCTCGATCTTTCGGCCCTCCCGAAGTGCGATAAACAGCTAAAGTTCGACACATCGTACAATGCGATTGAATATTTGGCTCAAGTAACGTCGCTCTTGGGCCTAGCCGTTTTAAATCGCACTTGAGCAGTTCTTCATCGCTTGCGAGCTGTTTATCGCGTTCGTGCTTTCCGCCACCCGCCGCCCCAGCTGTCGTACAGCGCCACCCCGCAGGGCCCATTCTGGTCCAACCGATCCGACTCGACGTCGATTTCCAGCCCGCTACGATTCAATTCCGATACTCCGACGATCAGATGTGGCCCGATGTTTGCATGGCGCTGTTGTGCATCCTGGCTCTTTCGATTCGATTCCGACCCCGTGCCAGTGCGCCTCGATCCGACGCACCTGCTGATCCGATCCGATTGTTGCTTCGATGCGCGTTTCCATTCCGGTTTCGAGTTTGATCCGGCGTTTGTCCTGCTGTTTTCTCCAACCGATTCGGCTCGGCCCTTCCGGTGCTTGCCGACTCAATGCCTCTGCCTTGCTTTCAGCCGATGCCTGCTGATTTGCTGCTCGGGCCGCTCCCGTCCGACTGACGTGTCGATTCGATGCCACGGCGACCTTTCCAGGGCCCCCAGGCGGCGTGGTGGCCACACCGTGTGGTGAGTCAGTGGGGATTGGAGGTCACCGCGCGGTTCTTGGAGCTCGGGCCGTGGTCCGAGGACGCCCCGAGCGGCTGGGGCCTCCGAGCCTCCGAAAAGCCGTGCTGCGACGGACCGCGCGGTGAGGTCGCTGGTGATGCCGAGGTCGTTTCGCAGTGCGTCACCGCACGGTTTCGGGGCCCGGGACGCCTGCCCCGCGTAGGGTCGCGCGTGCGCGCCCTCGTTTCAAGGGCTCCCTCGAGGGCGCGAAGTTATTCGCGCTTCGCGCTTCGCGGTCCTCGTTCCTTCTCCTCCTCCTCCTTGTCCTCCTTTTCTCCCTTTGGGAGGGTGGCGCGAGAGCGCGAAGTTATTCGCACTTCGCGCTTCGCGCAGCGCGAAGCGCGAAGTTGGGAGCCCTTGTTTTTCTCGCTTGCGGCCCGGGTCAGCCGCCGCGTGAGGTCGCGATGTCATCGCGCGTGAGATTCAGTCGGGCGTGTCCCTCTACAGGAGGAAAATTCAAACATAGTAAAACAATAGTCTGGGGACGATTTTTCTGTATTATTCTCATTCTATAGGTACATGTACGATTGCTTTAATAATGTGTCTATATGCACACGCACTTTCTGTTTCGTCCAACATCCGCCTGTAGGGGGACGTGCCCGACCTAAGCGTAAGATCCGTGTCTTCTCGTCGCTCATCTGTCCCCCCCCTCGCCCTGGCTGCCGTGCAGCAGCACCCCCGCTGGCCTGGAGGTCGCCATGCTGCACCACGGCAGGGACTCCGACCTCGAGGCCGTCAAGGCCGCGGCCGCGCCACGCGTTCGCCGCCAGCGCCTCAGAGCTCGTTTCGATTCCTCCGATTCGGTTCGATTCGATTTCGATGGCTTGCGATTCCGATTCGAGTCGACTTGGGATTCCGATTTGGGGCTCCGTTTTCTTACTGGAGGCATACTAGGCTGCCGAGGTTTGCCGCCGATTGGACTTCTCCCGACTCGGCCGCCGATATCCGCCGATCCGACGCATTTCGATCGCCGATCCGACTTATCGATTCGATTCTGGGCTCTCCTGGCGCCTCGGAAAAGATCCACGCGAGCCACCGCTGGCATCCTTCGGTCGCCGTCCGACACCGGGCACCATCTCGATCCGATCCGATCCGACATCGATTCTGG